AATGGGTTGAAATTCTTACATTACAAGGCATTATATTAATATTTTCTCAACCTTAAGCTTTCTTTCACCCTTTCCTCGTTTAAGGCAAACTCAAAGATAACTTTCGAACTGAAACCTCTGATTCCGGAATCAACACTCAAAGTTGCCACCTGAACTACAGCTGTAGCAACAACACTGTCGATTTTACAGTTTTGTTCGCTTATTTAATTAAATTCTTGTTCTTTACACGCTTTCCAACTATATATTTACTTAATCTCTATTTTGCTAGTCAATCAATCTGTGTGACTTTAACCTCGTCACAAATTCGACTATTTTCGAGTGAACAAAAGCGTGTATGTTTTTTCCAAAAACCTAAATAATAAAGTGGAGAGTGATTATGAAAATGTATACTAAGAATTATTTTCTTTCTCTTAAAGAGAAATTTTAATACAAATATTTTCTATATAGGAAGAAGAAGAAATTCTTTTCATTTGTCTAAAACATGTAGAAAACATTGTACTTTTCTATTCTCTTACTTTTGACTATTCTCCTAGTAAGCTAAAAAATGTTAAAACTGTTGACCAGAATTAAGTTACAGTAGGGGTAGATATGATGGCACTTACATTTGGATGCCCTCAATCAGATTACAGTTTGACAGCCAGCACCTGCCAACGTGTGGGGGTTATTATCGTCATTTTCCTCATATCTGAATCTCACTCATCATCACAGCTACACTATCATCCCACATTTTTCACCCAGTTTGTTTTTACACACTATTAAAGTGAACAAACTGTCCAAACTTTGTATGCCATTCGCAACAGTTCACCTATGTTCTGAAGGCATGTTCTAAATCTCTCTTTCTTTTCCATTCTTTAAGGTTGTTTTTTGGTTTAAATTTGTATTCGAGTTGGATCTTGATTCCATAAGTTGTTGTGGGTATTAAAAGAATTTGTGTACACCTTGCGGATCTTTCTTTCCCCCTGTTTTGGCACTTGATGGAATTGAACTGCAGAAATAATTGAGTTTTTCCCATACAGGTCTGAATTTATGCTTATCTGAATTTTGTTTCTTGGTTTGCAGCATTTATATTAGTAGTGAGGTATGATCAAATGCAGATCTTTTTGTTCTTTAAGTTTAAATCTTTGTCGAGATTGGTTTTAATTTACTTGTGATTTATAATTTTGTTATCGCGACGATTTTCATTTCTCGTTGTGCTCTAATCGAGAATGTAGCTTCTTTTGGAAAATTATTGCAGCTTTTTTTTTTTTTACCTGCGTATGTTAAATGTAAATAATGCCTCGGTTATTCCGTCTTTTCTAATTACAACGAGAAAATTGGGTTTCAGGGCATCTAACCTGTAAAATCTAGATACATGATTAGTAGTTTGAGAGATTGATGGGACGGATTTTTAATTTTGACAAAGTAAAAAGTTTCACTGAAAACATCCAGAAGATGCAAAAGAGAAGTACATTTGAGCTTCCAAACTTATGAAAATAAAGTTAGGAGAACAGCCTGACAAAAGCTCAGAATAAAATTTGCTCACATTATTTGGAAGGCAATTGAAAAATGTATGGATATTGGGTTGGAAGGATATACTGTTTTAGGTAGGATATTCATGACCTCACCTTACCTTTAATGAGAAATCAGACATCACTGGCAAAGTTGAGTAACAGATGGCTTTAGTAGACAGGGACCTTCCCCCTCCCCCTGAACACAGAGAGAGAGAGAGAGAGAGAGAGAGAGAGAGAGAGGTGTGGGGTTGACGTTGGCTTCCAGGTTATCAGAGGTGTATCCTGGATTGTATGAGGATGGGTGCACTGTACTATCATTTGTTTTTGTTTTTTTGAGAATGGTAGACTTCACTATTATATGTCCACAGGTATACTACTAAGTGTAGTTTCTCATCACAAAAGTTGTCACTTTACAGAATCCTTATAAACCTAATCACAGCCAATCAATTGCATTAAAAACATCTTCTGTGCTGTCTATAACTACTTGTTTACACCAAAAATAATACAGGCACCTAAGCAGGCTGTCCTAATCTTATGTATGTTGCTCTTTTTGCCTTCAAAACATCTATGATTCCTCTCTTTCCATATAGTCCACCATATACATGCAGGGACCATCTTCCATCTCTTCTCCTTCCTCACTGCATTGCCATCTCTATTCCAGCTTCTTAGCACTTCTTTGATTCTCCCAGGTTTCACCAACCTGATCTTCCTCTTGTCGATGAACATCTGCCACAGCTGGTCTGTCCATTTGCAGTGCAAAAAGAGATGGTTGACTCTCTCTTCGTGTTCTTCACAAAGGTAGCATCTAGATCAGAGGTTGAATTTCCTCTTGTTCAGGATTTCATGGGTGAGGACTGCTTCCTTTGCCAATAACCAGGTAAAATAATTTACCTTATAAGGCTTTTTGGGTCTTCCAATTCAATCTCCATGGCCACCCTATCTCTTTAATATTTGCTCCTGTCAAGTCTTTGTAAGCTAACCTGACAGTAAAAATACTTTTGCTATATACCTTCCACACCAAGCTGCCCTTCTCTTCTGTAAGATGAAGCTTTGAGGGACTGTATTCTGAAAAGCTGCTATAATGTTTATTCCCAGTCATTGAGGTTCCTTCTAAGAAGGAGGTTCCACCCTTGTCCTGTCCATAGGTCTGCCACAGTAGCACCTGATATTGGCATAGGTTGTATAGCTCAGGAAAAGTTTGCTTCAAAGGACATTTCCCACACCATATATCCTTCCAGAAAGCCACCTTCTCTCAATTTCCGTCCTTGCAAACTGTTCTGTAAGAGGTGTATCCTGGATTTTGAGAAGATGGGTGCACAGTACTATCGTTTGGTTTGATTCCATAAAATTTTGCGATAAGCAAACTATTATCTATACTATTATAAAATAATATCATTCAATTTACAACTGTTATAATAAGTCTCATACCTTGCAATGAACCATAGCAAACCACCAAGCTCTCGTCCTCCATGGCAGTGTGATAGAAACAGGTAGTCTTGGGCGAACACTGCAATACCTGCATCACCGTTCATGACACGATGTGTACGAAGAGTAGTGGGTGGCTATCATACCCTTTGTATAACTCAGGGAAAATCACACCCCAAAAGTTAGCTATTGAAGTGGGAGAGCCCAAGGCTATATAAGCCCCACAGCGACACATTTCAGTACCGACGTGGGACTCAAGTCCCCTGCATTTTTTTGTGCTTTTAGGTGCTAAGTTTTAATCTAAAATTACTTGTGTTTTTTAGCTTTTTTTGGAAGAGGATTGACGATCCATCAGTTTACTTGCTGTTTAGCTTTCAATTTAGAATTTAGTCATATACATATCCCGCTACTAACTATCATTGGTTCTGTTGTTGAACTTGTTATCAACACTCTATTTCTCCCAATTTATATGACACTCTATTTCTGGACATTACAAAATATTTGATATCATTTCTCTTATTAATTCCTTACTGTAAGGATAAACTAGTATTAGGTTGATAGTTAAGTTGCAACAACACTTCTTTATTCCGTCTGAGATCATCAGTGTGAGTTCACATAGATCATTCATATGTGTAGGCTCTGTTTCCACGTCAATAGTGTGATAGTCTGATAGACGAAGACGCAACAGATAAGTTAAAGCCCTACTGTTGAAAAGGAGTGGTATGCGATAAGGAGATACATACCAGCGTGAAAGATAGGTTTTATAAGACAGTTGTGAGACCAATGATGGTGTATGGCGTGAATTTTGGGTATCTATGGTCCGACATATCAAAAAATTGAGTGTTGTAAAAATGTATGGTATGATGGTGTGTGGTCATACAAAACTAGACAAAATAAGTGATGATTATGACAAGGTACAAAAAGCACATGTTGAAGATAAAAGGAGAGAAGGCCTTGAATTATAGTTTAGAAATGTCTACATTAGAAGTTCAAATGCAACGGTGTAATACTATGATGGTTGAATGTTAATGGATGAGATAAACAATTCAATCACATGGACAAAATTGTCAAAAGGGACTTACAAGTTCTTGAGATTCTTGTTGAATTAGCAAAAAACAAAATATAAATGAAGCACATGATTCATAGTAATTCCAGTGGTTAGCATTAAGGTTTATTTTATGTTGCAGCACTTTTATTAAGTATGTTGTTTGCCAGGAGTCTTTTTTGTTCATTACTGATTTACATTTCGGTAGAAAATATAAATAAACTTCAGTAATAGAGAATTCATAATAATTATCTTAGTATTGGAATGGAACTGCTACAAATGGAGCAGAATGGATATTTTCCTATAGCCGACCTCAACTAGTTTAGCTTTTGATTCATAGCTGTTGTAAAGTACAACTCCACCTCAATCCCAAACAAGTCGGGGTTGGCTATATAGATCCTTAATGTCCATATCACTTCATTTAAGCTAGTTGTTAAGTAGTATTGAAAATTTCAACCCGGGTAAAGTGGAATTCGGTTGCAAAGGAACCATACATTTGAGATTAAGGCATAATTATTATTGTACCCTTACTAGTATTGTTTATATATCTTTGACAAGTTTTAGGAATTCATTCAACGAATAGTAGTCAAACTTTGACATGGTGTGTTTTCCTTTCACCTAACTTTATGACTAGTACTACTTCAGTATCTTTTAACTACTCTTTGCTAAAATATAGTTCCGACAATGTTACGTCCTCCTTTTTGTATCATTTTGCTTTTTGTAATGACTATTTTTTTCCAAAATGTGATACTTCCTACAGCTATGGCAGCAAAAACTTAGTTCTCTGTCATTATCTACAACCAACTTAAGATCCAGATCATATTTTCCTAGTTTCTTCACTTTGGGCATCCTAGTATTCCTCAGACGTATTTGTACATTCTTCTATGTTTCTTTGTATTGCAGGGCTTAACTTTTTGTTCTTCATGGTCTGAGTATATTCACAAGAATACAAAATGGCAATCAGCAACATTAATTTGACGTCAGGAATTCAAATATTCTTCATGGATCTGGAGAAGTAATAACCTTTCTTGTTTCTACAGGAGTTTAGGAGATTGAAGTTTTTGTGATGGAGGGAGGAGATTTTCCTGTTAGGAGATGGGAGGACCTTGATAATGATATCTTGGTGAAGATACTCCAGTTTTTTGACCTTTTTGAATTGTCTGCTGGACTTGCTCATGTTTGTAATGTGTGGCGATTGGCTCGTTGTGATCAACTTCTGTGGGAGACGCTGAACTTGTCGGTACTAAAATCTAACTTCATCAAAAAAATATCCACTTCTTTTCCTAGCAATTTTACTCTTTATTTGAAAGTCAATGTTTGGCCTTGAAAATTTCAAATCCAACTTGAACTTATATTTCAAATTTGAAACAACTTATAACCTGTTTTTCAACTCATTTTTCACTTTTGAAGTTGTATCTCAAATTTGAGAAGTACATTCAATGTTGAATATATGGCCAAGCGCCTACTTATTCTGGAGAAGCAAAAATTACTGTGAAAATGAATAAGATTCTCTCTGAAATTAGAGAAATATTAAATATAATTCTATATTGGATAGAATTTACCAGTCAATTTTAACTTTGATTTTAAGAAAGAAAATTAAGATAAGTCATAAGCATAATTTATTCAATTTGCATAAGGCATATGCTTCCGTTCAAGTAATGAAAATGTACTAAATGAGGTGAATCGGAGAAAATGTCGGACCTCACAGTGTGTACTAGGTCCACATAAATGCTCTTTCTGAATGTCACTCTCCGTATCAGTTGGCCCTATAGTTCAGGGTTTAACTACAATACCCCATAATTTAAGTGCTGAAATGATAAAATGTGAATAGTTTAGGGAGTTTAAAATTAAAGGTATTAAGTCAAAAGAAAATCTCACTTTGATCTTCCTTTTTTTGTTATCTATCAAAAAAACAGGTAGGATGTCTCTGAAGCAAAAAATGAAAAAATGTTAGAGACTGTTGACCAGAATCAAGTTACAGGTATGAAAGATATGACGGCACTTCCATTTGGCAGTGAGGAGTTGTAGGTACTCTTTATTATTAAAGTTTGACTGCCGACACCTGCCAATGCGTGGGGGATTTTATGGTCATTTCCTCGTATCGGAATCTCACTCCTCATCAAAGCTACAATATTATCCCACAGTTTTCACCCAATTATTTTACACACACTGAAGTGAACCAACAATCTAAAGTCATGTGCTTAATCTCTCTCTGTCTCTGTTTTTTCCTTACATTCTTTAAAGTTGTTTTCCGGATTAATTTTTGACTCATGTTGGATCTTGATTCCAAAAGTTGTGGGTCTCAAAGGAATTCGGTGTACACCTTTTGGAACAGTTGTTTTCCTTTCTCTGGCTATTTGATTTTTGCCCTTACAGATCTGAATTCAAGGTTGTCTGAATTTGTACATCTTGGTTTCCTGCAGTTCAATTATTAGTGTGGTAATAATTGAAATGCAGGAAACCATGATGTACAAATTTAGACAACCTTGAATTCAGATCTGTAAGGCAAAAATCAAATAGCTAGAAAAAGGAAAACAACAGTTCCAAAAGGTGTACACCAAATTTAAAACTACCCTATAAACTTCGTAGATAGATGATTAGTTGTTTGAGAGAAAAGATTAATGTAGGCTTCATATGAGTAGCTAAAACTCTAATGTTAGTTCCCTCTCTATGGAAATCAGGTGGCAAATAGCACTTTCGACTAAGTTGGGCGGACTCTTCATTTTTGTTGTCGCACCCGTGTCGGCACAAGGCCGGTGGGGTGCGAATACGTTTGGGATTCGGTCAACCCACGTTGGATACTTTGACCAGAGTCCATGAACAAATTTGGGGGGAAATTGAGATTTTGATAAAAGATAAAATAGATTTAAGACATGGCATACTTTTAATGTTATAGTCCTTTTGTCCCTTTTTTAGCTTTTCATCTTGGTCAATATTCGTTGTTTTATGTTTCAAGCCAAACAGAGAGAAACTAAGAATTCAAGCGGTTGTGTTCCAACTTTTGGTAGACAGTAGCAATGATTTGCTAGGAGATATAGTGGTGGAAGGCCTTGAATGACTTCCTTTTTCTTTTTTGAGGGGAAGAGCCCTTGAAAGAAGAAGTTGGGGGTGTTGGGAAAGACGACCTAGAAGATCTTTCAAAATTTAGAATATCTTTATAGCCCTATTTTATAAATTTTGGATTTTTAGCCAGAATCCTAGCACCCATATCCATACCTGGATATGTGATCCCGAATCTTAAAATTTAGATTTTGCCTAATTTGACCCTCAAATTCGCATCCGCGTAGTATACCCGCACCCGAGTCCTAAGTTGCTCAGACTTGGGTGCGGATAAAATCCAAATCTTACGATTTAGGGGGTATGGATGGGTGTTTGGGGTTCGGCTAAAAATGTTCAAAATCATGAAATAGAGCTATAAAAATATTCTAAATTTTGAAAGATATGTTGGGTCGTCTTCCCCAAGGCCCCAACTTCTTCTTTCAAGCTCTCAGATTCTTCCCCTAAAAAAAGAAAAAGGGAGTCTTTAATTCTTAGTTTCTCTCCATTTGACTTAAAACATGAAGCAACGAATATTGACCAATAGGAAAAACTAAAAAGTAGAGAAAAGACTATAATATTGAATGTGTGCCACTTTCCATGTCTTAAAATCTATTTTATCTCTTATTTTGAGAAATCAAAATCTCAAATAAGAAACAAATCCAAAGACCTAGGAATTCTTTGTAAGCTAGTCATAGAGAGCTTATGATCACTTGAAACGGAAATATTTGTGGAGCACAATCAGGAGGATGGGGTTTGGCAACACCGGAATAAAATGGATGAGGTTTTGTATGACCACTGTGAAGTTCTCAGTTTTGATCAATGGTTCACCATCTGGCTTCTTTTCCTTTGAGATAGGATTGAAACAAGGAAACCCCCTTTCTCCTTTTCTATTCATCCTAGCTATGGGAGGTGAGGTCCAAGTGATATGCTGAAGATTGCTCAGGTTAATAACAGAATTAGGGGCTTCAAGGTGAGTGAGGGGGAATTCACTGGGAGATCTCTCCTAGTTACAATATGTTGATGACACATTAATGTTTTGTGATGCAGAGGGTGAACAGCTGAAAAACCTAAGGGTTATTTTCATTTTGTTTGAAGCAATATATGAACTTCATGTAAATTGGGGAAAGAGTTTTATCTACCCTGTGAATGAAGAATCAGAGATCAGCCCCCTGGCAAACATTTTAGGTGGCAAGACAGGGGAATGCCTTTGGGAGCTAAGAGTAAATCCTTGAACATCTGGAACTCTGTGGTGGAAAAATGTGAAAAGAAGTTGGTTAATTGAAGATGTCAATACTTATCCTTGGGTGGTAGAGTCACAATGATCAACAGTGTTCTTGAGGCCATGCCGACCTATATGATGTCCCTCTTTCCTATGCCGGGGAAGATCATTTAGAAGCTGGACACAATGAGAAGAAATTCTCCGGAAAGGTAATGGAGAAGGGGAAAAGAAATTTCATTTCGTTAAGTGGGATGCCCTCGTAACCAACAAAAAAGAGGGAGGGTTTGGGAATTAAGAATTTGAAAGCCCACAATAAGAGCCTTCTGTTAAAATGTCTTTGGAGACTAGCAGCAAATGATCAAAGCTTGTAGAAAGACATTATCATTGCAAGATATGGAAAGGAAGCATCATGAACTACTAAGGAGGTTAATACTAACTTATGGTGTGGGTCTTTGGAGAACTATTAGAAATCAGTGGCCAAGAATGTGGAGTAATTCTATTATTAATGTGGGAAATGGGAGAAAAACCTTGTTCTGGAATGATATATGGGTGGGACAAACACCTTTGAGACAATAGTTCCCTGACATTTATATTCTCAATCAACAAAAATTGGCTACAATTCTAGAAGTCAGAAATGAACTAAGATGGAACCTGACCTTCAGAAGGTTCCTCAATGACTGCGAAGCGACAAAATGACGCAACTCTACAACACCTTGGAACAAGCCAAGAACCTCACCTGTGAGGAAGACAAATTGATACGGAAGTTGGATAAAGATGGCAAGTTCAAGGTGAAATCAAACTACAAGTTACTAGACATTTCAACTAAAACCAAGGAGTTGTGGCCTTGGAAGATGATCTGGAAAAGGAAGATACCACATAAGGTGACTTGCTGCAAGACAATCTATTTTGACTCAGGATAACTTAATACAAAGAGGAGACAGTTATGCTCCTGATGTTTGAGACAATAAAACCATCTTTTTTGCATTGTGAAGTAACTGAGAAACTATGGAAGTATTTCATTAACTTGAGAGGTATTACATGAACCATGCCTAGAAATACTGCAGAAGTCCTAGCATGTTGGAATAGAGATGAAAATCAGTCAGGACACAAGGAGAGATAGAAGATTGTCCCTGCCTACGTCTGGTGGACAATATGGAGGGAGACAAATCAGAGATGTTTTGAGAACAACATCCCTTTCCAAAGCATTAAAATGAACTGTTTAGTACCTAAGGATCCGGGGGACATCACCTATTCTTAGATAGTTTATAAGGGAGAGAGGTGTTTAGATTCTTATTGACAATCCCTCTATACTTTTGATTTAATTACTACAGGTGTTCACTATTGTCTATTGGTGTACTTCTTTATAATACTAGTTAACTTTCTCAAAATAAAAAAATCTCAATTTCCCTCCCAATTTTTTCCATGGACTCTAGTCAAAGTATCCGCGTGGGTTGACCGTATTCCACACTTATCTTGAGTAATATCGATGTTCCATAATTGACTGTTTATACTTCACTTGATACTTTACTCATTTGAGAAACATGATGTATGGTGAGAAGAAGACAAGAACCACAGTGATGTACCATTTCATTCAAGTTCTCTTTCTCTCCATCTTTTAAGTCCTTGGATGAATATTCTGCATCCTGAAATATTTGTACTCCCTATGTTCCAATTTATACAGCTCTTTTCCCATTTTGGGATGTTCCAGATTTTTTGAAACATCCTATTTATAAAATTATGACCGCTTTTAAGAATTTAAGATGTATAAATTATTCCCTCTTTAATTTTAATGTGATATCTCTTTTCAACCATGAATTTATTAGTTTCTTCCATTATCAGTATAACACCAAATTAACATGTTAAATGTCTTGATCAGTCAAACATCTTCACAAAAAATGAAATGAACAAAGTACTTAAGAACAATAAAGGAATCCCTTCTGAATTATGTATACTTCAACCTGGATGATTGATTTAGAAGTTTG